TAAATTGACTTCATTCTCATAGACATCGCATTATTATGGATATTTCATTTGTATTAATCTTGTCGAAAAATGAAAGGTTATCATCAAAATATTTAGCAAATAAGAAATAGAGTCGTTGCAAAGAATTCAAATTACATATTCTACTTTTCTCTTTTATTTCTAACTGAAATAAGATTAGTAATGTCTATAGTTTTACCAATAAGTGACGTATCTAAAAATTCTATCATGCAAGATTTTTAGGTTTCATTGTATTTGACTAGTATTTAGACAAAACTAAAGTTCAAAAAGAGTTATAAAAGTTAAAGAGTCAATTGGGAGGTTGTGTAGGTCAATTAAGAGTCTTTGGGTTCGAGTATGAAACAAGAAGATGAAGTCACCGCATTAATGTTCATTCAATGCTAAGATCATGCTCGAGCACCCAAAACAATCAACTGGCGCAGCCTAACGCTAGTGTTTTGCTTCAGAGTCAGCCGACGCTCGCCTAGCGTCATGGTTTCGCTCGAGCGCCAGCTTTTTTTAAAAAAATCCTAGATCATGTTTTAAATAGTTTTTTGAGTCCTAAACAACTCCCAAACACGTACTATATATACCCAGGTTATATTTCATCCATAGGTGTGGTTTATCATTATATTCTTCTTAGAATTCATTTGTTGAAGATCCTACAAAAATTCTCTACGTTGAGATCAATCAACCACACATCGAAAATATCAAATTCATATTCTCAAAACACCAAACTACCCACTTCCTAAATATGTGTTAGTTAATGCTAAAGATTTAGGAGGTAACCAGAGTTCTGGTAGGAGGAGAACGTAGGAGTTCTCGATGAAACACGTGAGATAGACGTTCCAGAGGTCACGAGCTGCTATAGGAGAACGCGATCCATGAGAGCCTTGATGATTACATGAAGTAGGTCAGAAAGTACTAAGAGTTATAATGGATTTTACTGGCAGTGTGCCCGGAGTTTTTCATCCTGCAAGGGATCTTTCTCCATGATAAATTCATTGGTGTTATTTATTTTCGGCAAATACAAACTATGGTAATTTAACATCTAGGTTAGATTTGCATGTGAATTCATCTAGATTAAATATTTATAGTGAATTGGTTCTTTAAATATTGGTAAATTTAAATTCTGCATAAAACACTTATCCATCCCCATCTAGGTGTTAATTGGGTCGAACTTCGTTATTTCAATTGATATCAGAGCGTATATTCGATTCCTAGCCCCAACTTAATCTAGATGAGCAAGTCTCATTCCGAGCCTCTGTATTTTGACAGAAGCAATTATGTTTACTAAAAAGTAAGGATGAGAGCTTTCTTTAAATTTATGGATGATAGAATATGGGTGTGTTGAGAAATGGTGGACCGCCCCGCTACATCTGTTGTAGTTGCCCGTATTGAGGTTTCCAATTAGTCTAAAATTGATTTAGGTGAGTTTAACTAGAATAGTAAAAGGCTTTGTGCCCTATTTATGGTTGTCCTCGAAAAAGTTTAGAAGATTGTCCATGTGTAAGACTGTCGAAGAGGTACGAGACATTTTAGAGATTATACGTGAAGGAACCAAAACTGCTAAGAACTTCAAACTACAAATTTTGACTGCTAGGTTTGAAAAAATTGGAATGAAGGATGATGAATCATTCGATAATTTTTATGTAAATTTGAATGATATAGTTAACTGTAGTTTCAACTTAGGTGAGAAAATTCTTGAAACTAAAATTGTTCGAAACGTTCTTAGATCCTTACTTGAGAGGTTTAGACAAAGATCATAGCTATTGAAGAGAGCATAGATTTAGATGCAATTAAAATAGAGGAACTAGTTTGATCCATTCAAACTTATGAACTCACCATATCTCAACCTAGGAAGATCAAGTCTATAGCCTTGAGCACTGTTTGGAAAGAAGGGTATGACTCTATTAATACTGAGGCCATCAAGGATAATGAGATAGCTTATTTCATTAAGAAATTTCAAAAACTCCTTATGAATAAGAAGAAACCCCAAGAGAGATATAGAGGAACCTCTAATGAGACTAGAAAAGACAATCGTGAGAAGATCAATACTAGGATGTCTAGAAAGAAACTCCAGTCAGTTAGATGTTATAAGTGTCAAGGTTTTGGCCACTTTAGAAATGAATGCCCTAACAATAAGAAGACCCTAAGTAAGTGACAATGGTCGTGACTCTTACTGACGATGAGTCTAAGTCCAGTGACTAGAGTGATTCCTCTAGTAATAAGGATGCTAGAAACTGTGTGGCCCTCACATCTATAGTTAAGAGTCATTCAGATAAGGATAGTTAAAAGTTAGAGAACATAGGTCATAATGAGGGTACCGAGGTAGATTTGAAGATGAGGAAGATATTCGTGAGGCTTATGAAAAGCTGTTCCACGAAATTCTTAGGGTGAAAAGATCAATAGAGTTATTCTTAAGAAAGTGAATGAACTAGAATTAGAAAGAGAAAAATGTGTAGCTGACCTTGTGGAGTCCGCTAGAAGCCTTATTGAGTTGAGAATTGTGAAAGACTCCTTAGAGTCTAAGGTTAAAATTCTAACAAGCGACCTTGAGAAATTCAATAGTCAATTTCATTCCTTCTTGAGTGGATCTCGTAAACTTAACAATCTTTTAAGATTGAACAAGCCTACTAGACAATGTATGACCAACCTGCCCAAGAACAAGGGTATCTTAGAACAAAGGCCTACTAGACAACATATAACCAACCTGCCCAAAAATCAATATCAGCAACCACGTAGATTTGGACCTAGGTTTATCCTTACGTGTTACAATTGTGGTGAAACACACACGGTCTAAGTGTCACAAACATTTGAATATGAACAGAAGGCACAATATCTCTAGCTGAGTTGACTTTCTAACTAATCAGGTTAGTCACTTAACCGAGTTGATAACATAGTTGAGTAGGATTAATTTTGCATATAGTAAAAGTCTAGGTCCAAAAAAAAAAAAAAAGATCTCTAGGGACATAGGGATGCTCTAAATGGTGATATTGATATCATTGCCCTTCAATGTGAGAGTGTTTACACACCTCAATGAGTAGGTCAGTAGGTACGTGTATGTGCATTTTCATTTAGTCCACATTGTCACATGCATATTCATTTTTTAGGCTTTGTGTGATTTTTGCATTTTTATTTCAAAAAAAATGAGAAAATAAAAAAATGAGGAAATTTGAAGTGTTTTAGAAATTGCACTACCTTATTTTGATTATCTTGAGCGTGCTAATTGTGACCAAGTACGGGTGAAACTAATGAATGGTGACAATAATTTCCATAAGTGAGTTTAGGACTAATGTGGAGTACTTAATATAAGTTTTGCATTGTACCATCTTCATTGTACACACTAAGAGTTTATGAGTGAGTCTTAATCGCATGTATGAGAATTAGAATGGCGGTCATTTGGGTGGTGAGGTGACCTTAAATATAGATTGAATTTTAACTAGTAGACCTAACATTTATTAAATTCCCAAAAAGAATAGATTCATACATCTTATACTCATCTTCGAAGGCTTTATAACTCGAGCAATTAAGTTTTTAAGGGTTTCTAAAAATTTGGTGCCCTATGGTCATCTGATTTGGAGTCACCAACTCAAAGCTTGTTACAAGGGTTATAAAGAAGGCTAGATAAAGTTGGGTTTGCACATAAGATGAAAAAAAAAAAAGAAAATTAAAATATTTATGTGCTAAAAGTAAAGGGGAGAAAAAGAATTACACAAACCTAAAAGTTTTTCTTAAACGGGTTCTAGTATCTCTGGGTTTGACTTTCCTAACTTGAGGAATATGTTTGTACAGTGATTTATTTAGATTGTTCTTTCACGTAAAATTAAGGTTTTGAGTCTTGCTCACACGTTTGAAGTGGCACATTACACACATTGGGTCACTTATACAATTTACTTCATGTATGTTAAAACCATTTTGTGGGAGAAGTTCACTATTTGTTGATTTTGCTTGTGCAAGTGATCAATTGCATTTTTGAAGATATCATATGAAAAAGGGTGTTACATTAAAAAATCGTGAAAATTTTGAAAAATTCAAAAAATGATGCTATTTGCACAGGTCGTTAGTTAGCTTTTCATTGAGATATCAAGTTACTATTGTTTGGGGCTTATGGCGATGAGTCTAATAAGGAGTCAGATTAGGTGATCGGTCGTTTATCAATTGTGACAAAAAGGGAGAGTATTATTTGTAGTATTACATATCATTTTGGGGAGACATTACATTTGTGGATGTATTTTCAGAAGTTTAGCTATTTTGAGTTTTAATGTTGTTGTTGGTGTTTTGGTTAATATTGATATTGCATCTCAATCTAGCTAAACATGATTATTATATTATGTCTCAAATGCTATATTCCATGAACTGTTTCACACGCTTTTTTACACTTGATATTTGAGTTATTGATATCAAGAAATAGGTTTAAAAAGGAAAGCCAGTTAAAATTGAGTCAGTTGGGTTTTGGGTAGATAAGTTTTTTTTTATTCTTTGACTCGTAATACTTATTTTTGTCGCAGGATGTCAAAAGCAAAGTTTGTTAGGTTTTATTGTAATAGACAAGTCTTTATACAAAATTAAAGTTGTAAAAGAGTTATAGAAGTCACCGCATCAATGCTCGTTCCATGCCCAGATCATGCTCAAGAGCACAAAACAGTTAGCCCGATGCTCTCCTAATGCTAGTGTTTTGCTCGAGCGTTGCCTGGCGCCAGGTTTTGCTCGATCGCCAACGTTTTTTGAGAAAATCCTAGATCACGTTTTAAACAATTTTTTGAGTCTTAAACAACGAGGATATACGTGTGAATGGCCCAAATTCAAGGCTATAATTCCAAAATGGCCTTTGACCATTTTAACATTCTAAAATACCTAAAATACCCTTAA